TAAGTGAACAGTTTTTGAATAAATGTCGCTTTCGATATTCAGAACAATGTTACAGCACTTCATGTAGCCAGCAAGTGGGGCAACGTAGCCGTAGTCGAGCACCTACTGGCGTCTGGTGCAGAACTCGAGTGTTTCACTCGGGATGGACTGACGCCACTTCACTGCGCCTCTCGTTCTGGTCATGCTCAGGTGGTTCAACTACTCCTCAACTCTGGTGCAAATTTTTCAGCAAAGACCAGAGTAGGTTTGTGCAACAATTAATGTCCAACTTTAGTGCCTTCGGTTGTTACAACTATCTTTTTCTCTCATGATTTTAGAGTGGACTCACAGCCCTGCACATGGCTGCCCAGGGCGACCATCCTGAGTGTGTGAAGTTGCTGCTCTTTCAAGGCGCCGAAGTGGACGATGTGACAATCGATAACCTTACAGCTCTCCACGTTGCTGCACACTGTGGCAGCGTCCGAGTTGCAAAGGTACTTCTCGACGCTCACAGTAACCTCAATGCAAGAGCTAGAGTGGGTTTTCTACCTATCTACTCTCGTTCCTTCACTTTGGCAGCTCTCTAAAAGGTGTCATAACTATTGATTTATAGAATGGCTTTGCACCCCTTCATATTGCTTGCAAAAAGAATCGAATAAAAGTGGTCGAACTATTTCTAAAGCACGGTTGTATGGTGGATGTGGCAACAGAATCTGGTTTGACGCCACTACATGTTGCCGCTTTCATGGGAAATATCAATATCGTAGTGTTATTGTTAAAACACTCAGCTGATCCCAATGGACAAACAATGCACAATGAAACGTCTCTTCATCTGGCGACTCGTGCTGGTCGGATTGAAACAGTTAAATTGCTTCTTCGAAATGGGGCAATTGTCGACGCCAAATCAAGGGTAATACAATCTGTTTGTTTGATAATATATTTGGTCTGCAGGGTAACCAAACAAGTTTACATGTGGCTGCTCTGTTGGGTAATTGTGAGCTCATCACCGTTCTCCTGCAAAATGGAGCCAATGTTCAAGCTGTCACCAAGGATGGTCATTCAGCTCTTCATGTTGCCACAAAAGCAGGACACGACGAGGCCATCTCATTGCTATTGGAGTCTGGAGCACAAGCTGATGTGTTGACTAAGGTTTGCGTGGTATTTTTTTGCATCTAAGATAATCATTTCCAGTCTGGATTCACACCACTGCATCTAGCAGCAAAGTATTCACGATTGCGACCGGCACAGCTGCTGATTGAGGCTGGCGCCCAGTTGGATATACCGGGAAGGAATGGGCTCACACCACTTCATTTGGCCTCGCATTATGGATCAGTCAGCGTGGTCAAAGCTCTCCTTGACAAAGGAGTAAGTTAATTATCCACTTAATTTATTGGGATATCGGATTGACTGGTTGGTTAATTGTTGACCAACCAAAATTGTTAATAAATGAGCCAATCCGATTGCTGTAAAAGCCACAATTCATGGGACATCATTGATTTTTTGGCTTAATTAGGAGCTTCACGTTGTTTATTTTGACGAATGAATAAATAAGCACCAAAGTTTAGAACGTATTTTTATGCTCTAAAACTCGTGTCTTTGAATTGAATGCACCGAACAGAATTGATTTCCAACGCTATACTGTCAGGGCTCCATACCAATCGATAACACTACGCACCATGTCACATGCACTTTTTCGATGACATCCCAATCACGAGAGCAAGTCACCTCACTCGTCTAACATAATGCCGAAGTGGTCTTCAAAGGTGTTGAGCCGTCAATGCATATTTCAGATTTCTTTTTTATTAGATGTTGCTCGACTCAGAATTCATGCTTGTGGTTACGCACCAATGAATTCGTCACGTGCTTACTTGTACTCTGAAAATATTGCA